TATCACTCGGCGCTGTTCAACTGCCACTCAGACAATGCACGCGGTTCAAAGAACTGGGCTTCTAAGCTGGCACCTGTGTCCTTTGATGCCTAATCACCTTATTTTACATGATTGTTTATCTGAGGCTCTCATTATGGAAATAAATAAATATCCTCTATGCTAATAATGATCACAATTTGCATTTATATTGTGCTTTCCGTTGGAGGATCTTAAGTTGTTTTACAATAATGCACTGCCCTGGTCTGCACATGACAGCGTCTGCACATGACAGCGTCTGCACATCGGAATGCGTGGGGGAGACCTGTATGCAGATATTTATTTAATAACTACCCAGCACTAACTGGGATTTCACCGAACTACGCTTTAACAGGATGCAGGAGAGAGTGGAGGCCATTCAACTGGCCAGTGAACTTTCGTTTAGTGCAGGCGCATGGCCAGAGGGTGGATGGTGCGTGGTCGCCAGAAGGGGGCGCGACGGGGCTGAAGGGCTCCCTGTGACGGTCGAATGAGGGTCCAAAGTGGGTCTAGAACCCAGGCATCCATTGAGCTCCCTGACAGCAAAGTGGCCGCTTTGTGGATGGCCACTGGCCCACTTGTCCGGAGCAAGGTCTGGTTTGCGCCATCTCAGCAACAAAGCCGACCGATTTCACTCATTTTCACTTACTTGGTGAGAAACAGAGTCGCTCCAGGAAGAGGGTGGGGATTCCTTACACCCAGCTTGCAAGCCTGGGTCACTTGCTTGGAAGATGGTGTCTTGGATCTCAAGGCCTCAGGGCTCCAGACCTTTGTTCCAGGCAACTTCCCACCCTGGCGGGCAGCAAATGCCATGGCAGCAGCCGCCTCTTGGAAGCACGGGGTCTCCGGGATGCCTGCAGCCGGGTTCCCAGGGCCTGGTCCTCCTGGTGGGAAGCAGAGGGAGCTGCCATCACAGGAGGAGCCTGGAGAACCCCGGGACCCCTGGGACGAGGAGAGAGATGGTTTTAATTAGAGCAGAGCGGTGGGGAATAAGGCAGAAAGGGATGACATCTTAATCAGGTTTAATGAAGCTGTCTGCTGATGGGGACAGCTGTCACCCAGAGCTGTATTCCAGCCAAGCTTCTGTGACAGAGCAAACGGGGAAAGGCACAGTTTGAAGGCGGCTGGGGAGGGCAGGAGGTCAGACTCGAGCTCGGATTTCCCAACTACCCTGCCTCTGGATCCTGACCCCTGGTGTGTGTGTGTGTGGGGGGGCGTTCCAGCAGGCCAGTGGGCTGGAGTGAAGGGCTTGGTGTTCCAGTCCCTGCTGGGCAAAAGCAAGGCACACTTCTCCCAAGACAGCAAGGATTCTGAGTGAGGGATCGTAAGAACTCAACCCTAAGAAACGTGAAATGCAAAGACTTTGAGTCCGAGGAGCTTCCTGGGTCCTATGCCCCTCCGAGCCTCCGTCTCCCATCTGTGCAGTGGGGACAGCATGGCCTCCCTCAAGGCCTGGGGAGAAGTGAGGGTCTGTGGGAGGCTGGGGCAGAGGGGCGAGGAGGGGAATTCAACCCCAGCTGGTCCATCTGCTGCCTGGATGGCTTTGGGCAAGCACTGACCTCTGTAAGCTTCAGCTGCCCCAGCCATAAAATGGGAAACCTGCCCCCCAAAGGGGCTGGAGGAGCACAGCGCTCTGGGCATATGCTTAGCACTCAGTGAAGAGGGCTGCTAAGGGGAGGTCCCCGGGCATCACTGTCCTTCGGGTGGGAGGTGCATATCTCTTGTTTTTTCATTTTCTGCAGTAAAGACAGCCTGCTGGTTCTCAGGAATCCTCGTGGGCGAAGGGTGTTTGCAGGCTCTGCACGACCCCATACCCCCATGCAAGCCATCTGCCCCAGGACCTTTGCATAGTCCAGCCCAAGTGCTGGCTGGGAGACCCCTTTTGTATCTGCAGATGGTGTCTCCCATCCTGTCCTGGGTAGATGGAGGGGCTGCTTGGGGACCTGGGTTCTGATCAAGGCTGAGATCTGTGGCTAAGTCCCATCAGTTTGGTAGATGGGTTGCCATGGAAACCCATGACCATCAGGCCTCAAATTCCTCTTGCTTGCTGGTGGCTGCTGATCTCAGACATCTGTCACAAACTGCCTGCCCTTGTCTAGAAGTCCAGGGTCAGGAGCTCCCTGAGAAGCTGTGTGTCAGACTCGGCCAGAGGTGCCCCGAGGCCCGCTGTGCCCTATGGGCTCCCAGAAGGCCCCACTGGACCATCGGGGGACCGCTCTGCACACCCTGGCTCCTGTCCTCCCTAGCTGCCCCCCTGGAAACTTCTCCAGCTTGGTTCTCCCCGAAATGTCAGCCCAAGACCCGTATCTTCCTTTTCCTGGCCACCAGCCCCTGCCCAGGAAAGACCTAGCTGTTCCTTAGAGGGTTTTCTAGAGTGGCAGCTCTTTCCACACCCCCCAGCCTGTTCAGCCACCAGGCAATGGTGTCTGCCAGGCTGCCCCGGCAGGCGGGGAGACTGCGGTGGTTTCTGTCTAGATGTCCCCTGAGAGCTTCTGGAGGAGCCTGGGTTAGGAAGGTGCGCCCTGGGCTTGGCGTTGGGAGGCGGGGCCTGGTGGGAGGCCGGTTGCTGGGGGCGTGGTCTGGGTGCCTGTCGCACTGGAGGATGATTGTGTGAGCCGCCCAGGGGGTGGTAAAGGGGCCCAGCAGCCTCCATTCCTCCCTCCCTGCCTCTCTCCCTTCTTCCTCTCAGTCCCTGTTTGCTAACATCTATTCTACCTTGAGCTCTGGGGAAAGTGGGGTAGAAATAAAGACTGATGGGGTGTGTTTGAAATCTCTGTGGCTTCTGCTCAATTTTGCTGTGAACCTAAGACTGCTCTAAAATATAAAATCAATTTTTAGAAAGTTAACTTTAAAAATTAATAAATAGCTCGGCCGGGGATTTAGCTCAGTGGTTCTGCTGCCTGCCTTGAAAGTGCAAGGTCCCAAGTTCGATCCCCGGTACCCAAAATAATAATAATAATAATAATAATAATAATAAAAATAGCTGAGCAGGGTGGTACACCACATCTACTATAATCCTAGCTACTCAAAAGGTTGAGGCAGGGATATCTCAAGTTCAAAGCCAATTTGGGCAACTTAGCTCGACCCTGTCTCAAAATAAAAAATAAGAAGGGCTGGGGGTAGCTCAGTAGTGGCGCACCCCTGGGTTCGGTCCCCAGTACCAGAGAAGAATTAATGAAGACCGAGTCTCTGTCCCCCAGTGCAACACACAGGCTCCTCAGGGCAGGCAGACCATCAGCAATCAGTTACTGACTTGATTATGCTACGCTGTAATTTCCCAGCAGCTTTGAGATGTAATTCACACACCGTACAGTTCACCCATTTAAAGCATACAATTTAATGGGCCTTAATATAGTCACAGAGTGGTACAACCATCACCACAATCGATTTCGGGGGCTACTGGGATTGAACCCAGGGCCTGTGCTGAGCTATATCCCCAGCCCTTTTTATTTTATATTTTGAGATAGGATCTCACTAAGAGTTGCTAAGCTATCCAGGCTGGGCTTGAAATTGTGATCCTCCTGCCTGAGCCTCCCAGAGAGCTGGATCACAAGCCTGTGCCACCAGGCCCAGCTCCCCTCACTCACTTGCAGAACGCCCCTCAGAGACACGCTCACCCATCTCACCCCCATTCGTGCCATTCCTTCACCTGCCCCAGCCCCGGTAACCACAAATCTTCCCATCCCCATGAATCTGGAAGGCGGGCCCGGCACACAGTGCGGCCCCGTGTAACAAGGAGGCTCGGGCCAAACCTGCCGACCCAGGATGCCTTCCCCGAGGAGGAGGTTTTCGTCCTGCACCTGCTGTATCCCACCAGGAAGCAGATGGTGGTAGAAGCCAGGGCTCCGGCTGGGTAGGAATCCATAACCCAAGCACGGTGGTCCAGATGAACCGAGCAGAGGAAGAGCTTCAGGTGTCCAGGGCAGGGCATGGCCTCGTGGGCCAGGAGGGGACGAGGGGCTCAGAGAGCTTCCCGGAGTGGTGGGGCTTGAGGAGGACCTGGGGTAGGGGAGGGGCAGGCTCAAGGCAGAGGGCATTCTGGGAGCAGAGGCCCAGATGCCTGTGAGGTTGAAATGGTAGATGTGCAGGTGTCGCCTGCAGACCCTGCGACGGTCTGGTGGGGCCAGACGGGGCGTCCTGGGAGATGTGATGCCTGTAGTCCCAGCTCGGCCCAGGTCCGGGGCTCCCCACCCTTCACAGCTCTGTCCCTGGGCTCATGGGACCTGGGAGCTGCGGGAACCTGAGGCTCCTTGGTGTTTACTTCATCCAGGGATCTGAGTGTGGGGTGCAGACAGAGGGCTGGGGTTAGAATTCCAGCTCTGCCACTGCCTACTGTGTGGCCTGATGCGCCGTCACCTTCTCCATCCAGGGAGTGGGGGTGGTGACTTGGGACTCCAGGTGGCAGAGAGGACTGAATCAGAAGAACGTCAAAGAGGAATCGGATGTTGGGCCTGGAGTGCAGTAGAGCCCGGAAGTGCTCTGGGATGATGTTCTTCCCTCTTCACCTCAGGACCTGGGGTCACTGTGGCTCAGCCATCCAGGCTCAGTGACGCCTGCCTCGAACACCCGGCCCCATCCCAGGGGTGATGCCCGCTGCTCTGGGTCTCAATTTCTGCATCCATAATGTAGCCATTTCCTTCCATGGCTTGAGGAGGACTTGACCAGAGGCACAGTGGATAGGACTTGCAGGCCAAGGGGGTGACACAGTGCTGTCACTGTGTCCCCATCCCAAAGTACGGATTTAAGGAAGAAGAATCAACTTCGTCTGTGCTGGTGATGAGGGTGGGGGTGTCTCTGGCAGGAAGGAGAGCTAGGGAGGAAATCCGCCCCCTCTCCCCTGTGGCCTCCATGGGCGACTTCTTGAACCAGTCACACTCTGCTGGTTCTGTCCCCACCTGCAGCTTGGCTCCTCTCCGGGGCCCCGATGCTGGACATTATGAGGGCTGAGATCCCACCCCTCACCTTTGCTCTCTCTCCTCCTACAGGCGGAACTCGGCAAACCCCGGGAAAGAAGCTGCAGCCTGCCTGGTGTTAATTTCAACTACGGCCTCTACATCCGGGGGCTGGACGGGGGCGTCCCCGAAGGTGAGCGAGTGTGCAGGAAGCACGAAGGGCTCAGGAGTGCATGGGAGGCGGCCTGCGCCTCTTCCCAGGGCTGTCGGGCCGCAGCTGGCCACTTGGAGAAAACCCAGGGGGCCTACATTGCAGCACCGTTCTGGGGGGACCCAGGTCTGGGCAGCCGAGTGGCGAAACCCAGGGCTTGGCCGAGATGGTGAGAACCGAGGCTCTGGGCTGAGGAGCCTGGGGAGAGACCCTCTGCACTGTGTGCCATTCCAGCTGTGACACAGGACGGGCCCAGGAGCAGGGCTCCGATGGCTCAAGGGTGGCTGAGGGCAGGCGCCCCAGCTCCGCGCGAGACACTCAGGCTCCCTTGGGATCTCTGAGAATCCCGATCCCTCCTTTTTGGGCCACCGTATGCTCCCAGGGCCAGGCAGGGCTGACACCCTGCAGGCTGGGATATCAGGGCCCTATTTCTTCTAGTCCAAGGCCGTGGGTGCTTCACCTCCCCTGACACCGCCCGTGGCTCTGTCTCCCCCACCCTCAGCCATCGGGCACTGGAATGTGTATAAGCAGCAGCCCACCTGCCCCCAGAAGCTGACCCGGAACTACATCGCCATGAACTGCGGGGCTGTGAAAGCTGGCCTGGTGACCGCCCGGGAGAACGTCCTCTACCGCAGGTTCAACGACATCCGCATCAGTGACCAGGACGAGCGGCGCCAGAAGGAGCCGCCCACCGTGCCCCCCAACATGACCTTCGGGATCCGGGCACGGTGAGAGGGTGGCACCCGGGCTCCATTCCTCACCAGGGCCAGGGAGGGCGACAGGAGGTGCTGGCTGAATCAGGGAGCCATGTCAGAGGGGATGGGGACGCAGAGCACCCTCTGAGGCTAGCTGTCCCCTCTCCCTAAAAATTGTCATGTGGCTTCCGTGGCTGTACCGTGATTCCTGCTGAGCTGAGTGCTTACCTGGGAGATGATGGCATAAGCTATGAATTTACATCGTTCTCTGTCACCTACATTGATGGGAACCCCTGTCTGCCCTTGGAGACTCAGAACCTGAGCAAGGGAGGCGAGAAGCCGCCAGGTTACCCAGCCCAGCACCTGTGAGGCCGTAACAGGCTCTCCAGCCTAGGCTCACACCCGGACTCTGGCCATGAGTAGCATGGGACACTTACCTCAGTTTCTGCATCTGTAGAATGGGATAAACCAGTACCTGCTTCGTGGTGTCCCTAAGAGGTTTCAGTGGCACAGTGGCTTGGCATAGGGTCTGGGATAGAGCACTCAATAAATGCGGGCAGTTAGCAAGGTTACAATGATGGACACACACTGAATACCCAAGAGCTATGAGATCTTTAAATTTTTACCGTCTTATTTTATTAAGTTTGAACATGGTGATGTGCTGAAGTACCCATGTTTGGCTTAATGAAATTTTACAAATATAGAAATGTTCATTTAGTAAGCAATCACGAAGACGGGATTTGTCTGGCACCCCTGGAAGCCCCCGGGCTCCCCCTTTTCTTTGCCTGGCGGTCCTGTAGATCACATGGGTGGCTGGGGTGGGTGTTCCCGAGGCCCCATCCTCCCAGCAAGGATAGGACCAGCCAGCGGGACCCACATCCCACACAGAGCTAGGCGGGAGTGTGAAGCTGGGGAGCAGCCACAGAAAAGGACTTTCAGAATCCAGTCAGTGCCCTGTCGCTTTCTGTTTGGACCTCCGAAGAAACCTCTAACTGCTCTCCTGCCTTCCAGAACTGGCCCTTACTGAGTTACCTCCCTAACGCACGTGCTGAACTGTATAATTCCCTATGCAGACATTGATAAGAGCTCACAGTTAGGGACATTAACCTATCTGTCCCTCTGGCTGCCCACTATTGGATTCTCTCTGTCTGTGAATACATCTTTTCCACCTCAGCCCATGTGCATTGTGGGAACTGACTTCACCCTTGACCCCAGGGAGGGTCATGTGATCAGGCGTGGCCAGTCAGGGCAGCTGATTTCCTTGCCCCCAACAATTGACCCATGACCTGATCCTAGCACACCTGGCATTCTATCAAAGTAGAATATGGTTGCATAGAATCAAAATCCAAACTGCCTTGACTTTTTAAAGGGAATTTATTGCCTTGTGTGATTGAAAAGCCCAGGGGTGGAGCTTCAGGCAGAGGGGGACCCAGGCAGTCAGGTGATGCCGCCCACATGGTGGATGTTCCTGCATGTGGTGGCCGTGCTTCCTGGTCTGGGCTTCATTCTCCGACAAGGTTCTTCCTCACTTGCTGTCTGGTTGATAGCAGTTGCATCCTTAATCTTATTGTTTTAGTAAAGCCAGCAGGAATGATTTAGAAAGTACAAACTCTTAAGTTTAACATGTTTTGGTCCAGCAGGTCACACACTTGTTCCTGAGCCAGGCACTGTGATTGGCCAGGTTGAGGTCCCATGTCTGCCTCTGAACCCTTTGCTTGGGGTGGGGGGTAGGGGGGAGCCCCGATGCCCTCATTGGCCGGGCCTGATCACATGGTCCTCCTGGGAGTCAGGGAGAAATCTTCCCCACAATCCACCTGGGCTGAGGGTGGAAAAGATGCCAGGACCAAGGTTCTATTCCACAGGGAGGAGCCCTGGAACCCAGAAGGCCAGAACAGCAGGAGGCTTCCCGGCCTTTTCTATATCACGCTGCAAACTTACCATTATTACAGACTCACTGAGGTTTGTGCATTGAATCGCCCTGAACAAATAAACAGAATGGCTGCTCCCAGAGAACAGCGACTGCCCGAGCCTCCCACTGCCCAGGGCACCGTCCAGCCATCTGTGCCCATCTGGGGGCCACGCCCAGCTGTGCCTCCTTCAAAGCCATCGCACCCCCAGCCGTCTTCCGGTCTTCCTTCTGGCCACGCCTGACTTCCTTTTTGCTATGTTCCTTTCCTTTTTTTCTTTTTAATGGTTCCCCCCTTGTCTTTTGTTTTACTTTTTCCTACTTTTATTGTGGTAAAATGTGTATGACGTAAGATCAATCATCTTACCAGTTTTCACGTGTGCAGTTCAGTGGGACTAAGTCCATTCATACTGTGCACCTCAGCACTGCCCAAATTCTGCCCCATGAAGCACCAACTCCCCACGGCTGGGGTCCTGCAGCGGTCAGTAACCGCCATGCACTCTGCTTCCTGTTTCTGTGACTTGGAGAGATCTAGGCACTTCCTACGAAAGGAATCTACAGCGTGTGCTCTTTTGTACCCAGCATGTTTCCTTTATCGCAATGTCTTCAGGATTTGCCCAGGCTGGGGCCAGGGATTTAGCTCAGTGGTTCCACCGCCTGCCTTGCGAGCGGAAGGACCCGAGTTTGATCCCCGGTACCAAAAAAAAAAAAAAAAAAGTAAGCTTTGCCCAGGCAGTGCCATGCACCCGCATTGCATCCCTTTTTGTTTTTTGTTTTTTTGGTTTTGGTCCCAGGGATTGAACTCGGGACCTTGAGCTTGCAAAACAGGTGGCGGAACCACTGAGCTACATCCCTGGCCCCTGCATCCCCTTTTAAGACAGAGGAATATTTTGTTGTGTCTGAACCACATTTCCTTGACCTGTCATCCATGGGTGGACATCTGGGTTGTTGCCACTTTTGGTTGTTGTGAGTTCTGCTGCTGTGCACATGGGTGTGCAAATACGTGTTCTCGTTCTGCTCTTGATACCTTTGGGGACCCATGCAGACTGGACTTGCTGGATCTCGCAGGGATTCTAGATGTGGTTTTGAGGACTCGCCACTCTCTTGCAAGCATACACCACCATACCATGCTTTTGTATGCTTTTTGGTCACCATCCTACCTGGTAAGACCCTCCCATTCTCCAGATTTCACGCCAGCGTCCTCTCCTTGGTAGCTTTCCCATCCCTGTGGCCTTGTACATTGAAGACACACTGGACAGTCACTTCTGGGCTGGCTTGAGCAAGCGTCTGTACGCGTCTTCTACCAGCCCTCCCAGGTGTGTCCCTGATCACTGCTGCCCAGTCTGGCTGCCTCCCATCACCCCTTGTTCTTGTGGGATACCCGGGCTGGGGCCCACAGAGCCTGCTTTCTGTACCCGGTCACGTGATTGGTCCGTGCTGTGACACAGGGTCTCATAGAGTGGTGTGGGAGGGGCCCTGGGCCTGGAGTCAGCCTGAGGTCCCGATTCCACCTTTGTCTTCAAATCTCTGCCTCGCCTCCCCCAGGGCTTCAGTCCCCTCCTCTGTAAGTAAGGTGTTACACTAGTAAGCTGGCATTCTGTGACCCTCCCAGAATATCCTGTTGCGCCATCTTGGCTTTAACCCTTCAGGCCAGTTTTATGTCATTGTCATGAAAACCTGTGTGGGAGGTGAGCCAGACAACTCTCCAACAGGGGCAGAAGTTCATCTAGCTTCGCGGGAGGCTTGGCCGGGACTCATCCCCTGGTATGCTTATATTTTAAAATCTCAAAAGTTAGAGCACTCAGGTCATTAGCGATCCCTGTGCTGAATTCTTAGAACAGGAGAAAAGAGAAAGGAGTGGGGTGAAGAGATCTGCCCGGGTTCACCCAGCAGGCTGAACCGAGCCGGCCTAGGTCCAGGAAGCCGGGGCCCATGGTGCAAACCCACTGTTCTGGTCCTGGGGCTGCAGCAGCGGCCGAGGGAGGACATTCATTATCAACCAGCTTTCACTATGAAATCTTCGGGTGCTATAAAACCGAGTGGCCACAATTCTGAGGCCGGAATGTGATGAAGTGCGGGCTACATCTTCTGTGATGGTAAATGGGCTTTGGATATGCAAATTGAATGGATTTTAAAATGGTATTTAATGACAATTTTCGTAGCAGACATTAACATTAATTGCACAGAAATGAAAATGCTGCATTAGGTTGCTGTTAGCAGCAAATATCGTGGCCATAAAGCTTTATCTTTATCAACAGCAGCCCTGCCCGAAGTGACAGGGCAGCGTGGCAAATTGCAGGCACAGGGGCTTTTATGGGACAGAAATCCACCCCCAGGCAGGCCCGAATCAGCATCAATTTCACTTTATTTCTTCGTAAATGGAGGTTAAATGGCTGCCGGAAAAGCTTTTACTGAGCTGCCTGCCGCCTGCAGACCCCCTTGGCCAGCGGACATAGAAGTACAGGAACAGTTAAAAAACCATCGCCCCCTTAATGAGGCTATTACTTTAAAGTTATGGGGCCTAGGCCTATTCCGTAACGACCCCCTTTTACAAGTCTGAATTCTATTTATTTCTCCACTTTAAAAGCAAGTTAAAAACCAAATCCGATTACACTCGACTCCGGAGAAATTGTGCGATGATTTGGTCCAATAAATAAATAAAGCAAAGAAACAAACAAGACCCATTAACAACCGCAGATGAAAGTTTGGCCTCGGACTAAATACACAAAAGCTTCTCTAAAAGGAGGGTGCTCACCGCACAGGGTGGAGGTGGGGCTTGCAGACACCCAGTCCTCTGGCCCTTGGAATCCAGAGGTACAGAAGTGCACCCCACTTTCCCACACCTCCGTCCTCCTGTTCAGCCGGCCCCTCAGCACCAGAACGCAGAGTTAGTTACTCAGTTACTTCCTTTCTGGTTGGTTCCCGAGCCGCAGTAATCTGTTCCCAATGTTCTCTAGATCAGAAGGGGCTGTTTCAATCCCCGAACCTCAGGCTAGGAGGAAGCCGAGACCTGTGCAGTTGTCTGGAAAACAGCGGCCATGTGGCGTGTGGAGGCAGCCAGGGGCTGACTGTGTCACCAGAGATGTTGACTTGGCCTGGGCAGTCATTAAAAAATTTTTTGGAAGGA